ATTGTTGATCACCAATATACTGCTTAAAACAGTAGAAGAATTTCTGAAAACCTTGTTTTCCTCCTCTGCAGTTTATGTAAACAAACAATTTTTTGGTATTTCTTTGTAAGGTTCTCTGCCGCTTTCTTTGTTTTACTCCTTTGCCTGGGAAATGATTATTGAAGAACTGCCCGTTTTCTCTAGCTGTTTGTAAGGTATCTGTGTTTTTCTTCTAGAGCCACCTGTTTTCTCCTCTTATCATTCCATATATGACATAAAATATTACATACCAATTTGGGTTTGTTCCAGGATGATTGTGTACTTGCCCTACTTAGAGTCCAAGGTGGCGAAAGTGTTCAGCGCTTTAGGAGGAACCCGAAATGTTGCAGAGTTACATTTTTCTGTCCCCTTCCCCACCAGTCAGTAGGTTTTAGTGTGGCAGTTTACTAAGCATTGAAGTCTGAAACAACTGGGAAAACAAACCTTGTTTCTATCTTCTTTTCCTCAGCAAGCTGCTACATAGGCTGATTGCATCTTGCACTGCTACGGTGTTTGAAAGAGACTGACACATTTAAAAAAAGTAAAACATTGAGGTAACTGTTTTAGACTGTATGTTGACAGTGACATGCTTAATTTGATACTATTTTTTCAAAGCTATCTATGCCCGAAGCATGCTTGAAAAAAAGCTTAGGCTATCTGGATAAGGTTAACAGTACTATTTTAGTGTAAGCGCCGTATAAATTAGTGCTACTGCAGTCTTGCCCTCCATATCAGGTGTTCCTGAGCATCCTCACTAATTCAGGATGTTTGACTGAGGAGTGTTCCCCCACTTTTTTTTTTTCCTCCCTGCATGGTGTCAGCTTGACTCCTTGAACTTGGCTTGCTGAAGGATTAACTAAGGAACATTGCAAGACAGTTGTAAGTATGCATGTCTGAAGAAAAAAGGTGAAATGCAGAATTAAGGCAATTCTGAGTTAGACTTAAACTGTCATGGTAATAGAGCCTAAAGTGTTTTCTGCAAGCTCCTTAATCATTTTTAATGTCTACTCGCGAGAGAGTAATAGCACATAGTCTGGAAATCTAAGCAGTGAGGAAGTACAATTTCATTGTGTTTAAAAACATGTGTAGATAACAAGGAGCAAAGTATCTGATAGAACAGAGGTGCCTCACAGCCAGTACTCGGTGAACATAACCTGTTCACCAAGGCTGATTGTTGTCCTTGTAATCTGAACTTGTGGGAAGAGAGGCATTGGATGTGGTCTGCCCAGCCTGTTTGCTGTGGTATCCTCATCCTCTGACTTCGGCAGTGCAGGGCTGTTGGAGCCTGGCAGGCTATGCCATGGTTTTTCTCGGTGAGAATTCAACCTGTGCAATCCATGTGGCATTGAGAAAAGCATACCGTACCTTGGCTAAACTCTGCAAGGCTGGAGTCCACCTGCTGTGGAGCTTTTCAGCACACACTGTGGTGCAACAATACCCGGGCAGTTTCTGTGGGTATGGGGATATTTTCTCTTCCTCAAAGTGGAAGACACACGAAGCGGAGGAAGCCTAGGAATGCAGTGAGCAAAGCGATGGCAGCCTGCATTACGAATATCAGATCACGCAACCGATGGGTGAGCTGTGGCCCTGGCTTTCACCATTGCTTGGTGCAGCGCCCTGCGCGCTTGCTTGCCTGGGTGGACCTTCCTAGTGCCCTGGCCTGCGGCTGGGATGTGGTGCAGCTTCTGTCAGCGCTGGGGGTCGGCTCCTGGGCACTTCGGCGTCGGACAGAACACACCTTCCTGCCTGGCTGCCTGCCTGGAGCGCAGCCAAGGTGCTTTCATTTTTTGGCTGGCAGGTTCAACTGCAATTTTTTGTGTGTTTTGCTGACCTGATTGAGGTAAATGATATAGACAGGGTGCTTCAGGAATGCAGGAAAAACTGGGGCTGGAAGGATGGTCTGGAAGCAAAACTGCTGTGGCGGGTTGGAGGTAGGGAGATGGGAGCTTGCTTGTGTGGTGTGTACACAGGTTCTTAGCTGCGTGTGGCAAATTGAATTTTGTCTGTAGTTTACTCATGGGAAAAGATGTGCTATGGAGGAAATGTTTTAATAATTTCCCGACTATATATCTATGGGTTTCCAGGGTGTGAGAAAAGCATTTATCCAGATTCCTAGAAGACAAAAAAAAAAAAAACCACTAGTGAGAAGCTATTGGAAGATGCTGTCTATTAGTTTAGGAAGTTTGTGATCCACAAACAACAGAAGCATAGAGGATCTGGTGGTAAAGTGTCACTGTGTATTCACTTTGGTTCTATATTCTTCCCTAGGCATTTTCTGTAGACCCCCGATAGAAACGGGGTGCTAAGCCAGGTCGTCTTCTGCCTTTTTTATGAATTATTTTAGAGCTACACTACAAAACCTCTTAAATTATTTTTATATGCCAGTCTTTTAGTCAGAGCATAATTTTTGAAGCAATAAAACTTGACATTGGTTCTCATGCTGCTCTTACATGATGGTGTTGAAAATCATATAATGAGCATCGCCTGTTAGTGTGTGGCTTTTTGCATCAGTACAGGCATTAAAACATTAGTGATCTATATAATCAAATTACTTAGTGTTGTACCACTGTTAAATCTTAAAGATTTGATTGCTCTTCTGTAGGGTAATTTGGTTTTGTACACTGTTAGATATTATGGTGTGTCAAGGTATTTATGCTTGACATCTTCAGTTAGGATTGCCTTTTACATTACTCTTAAAAACTGGCCTTTATATAACAGGCAGTTTTATTGCTGTGTAGCCAGTTGATTTCTATGACTAGTTTCTCCAGAAAGTTTATCTTAGATCAAGGATTATTACCCTGAAGATCTCATGGTGTTACAAGTTCTGAAATGTTTCTTTGAACCTCTGATCACTGTCGTGACCATTTATCAGCAAGTGAAGGTTTCTTTCATTACAAAAGCAGTAGAGTTTCATTGTTCCAATTGTTTCACCTGCTAATCCTTTTGTCCTCCTGGTTTTTTTTAATCATTTGTACTCACTGGGTTTGATTTGAGTACTTTCTTTAATAAGTTTATGCCCACAAAGCTTCCCACCTTCTTGATTGGATCTAATGGCAAGTATCTGGTAGTTGTGAGCTCTTCTTGAGGCTCCTTCCATGTTTTCTAAATCAGAGGTAAATTTCTAGTATAAACATGTACACATGTAAAATTGTCTGGGCAGGCTGTTCTGGAAGTTTGCTGTTGCTTCATGTGTTTTCTAAGTTTTATTTTGTTTCAAGGTCTGTGTGTGTGTTTTTCCCCCTCCTCCATATTTTGCTGGTGGATATGCTTTTGCATTTGCCATTTATTATTGAGTGGAAATATGAACAATGTATATATAGTGTCTCAGGCTGATTACATTCAGCACTGAAGGCATCACCTGTACCTTCTTCTGTTCAAGATCTTGTTTGAGAGCATCTCTCCTTGGGAATACTCCATCCCGTTGATTTCTTTCATACATCTAGTCTCTGGGGTTCTCCCACTCGCCACCCCCTAGTATCTGTGATTATATACTCTTGGGTTTTGATCAAGTTTTAGGATGCTAATGAGCCAGCAGGGAGTAGACATGGTGAACAGCAACAAGAATGAAGAGGAATGTCTTGGCTGCATTTCTGTATCTTGTGAAAACAAGGTGGATTAAATCATGTTCTGGAATAAGAGAACGCTTATCACTATGCACTGATCTGTGCCCGGTTTTGGCATTAAATGGGAGCAATTATTTCTCTCAAGCTAATTCTCCCTTTCTTCAAATACAGCTTGACTATGCAGTTCAATAGTTATCTTTTATTTTTTTTTTCTTTCTTAAAAAACCCACAACCTTTCATGATTCCCTAGATTCTTGGAATAACTTCAGGATGCCTTAAATGCTGTTGTCTTGGAGTCACAGCCTCTCCAGTTTTCTCGACTTTCTAGCCATAATAAAAATAGCTCCATTATTTATGTTCCCAATTGTACTGTGAATACTTTAATTGAACTTGATTCCCTCTGCACAGATCATACTTGGAGCATGCACCTGTGTCTGATTTGCCCAGTTATTCTCTTAGCATGTCGATATATGGCTGAGCCTGGGTAGCGTTTAACTGGGAGTAATGGAAGAAAAGCTGTATGAGACAAGATGAAATGGTACTTATTACAAATACCGTATGTTTTTGTCCTGACAATATGGAGCTGGGATTAATTTTATGGCTGGAGGGAAGGGGGTTAACTTGTAATGCTTACTTTACCACTAATTGTTTATGAGACTCAGGACAAGTTGTAGGGTCCTACCCTGTATTCAGTGTGACCTTGGAATGTGTGCTGCAAACGATAATGGCAGCTTCAGTGTTTTTAATATCAGAGCATGCCGCTTATTTAGAAAAATGCACCTTAGTGCTCTGTAATAAATAGTTTTGTGGGTCTTTCAGTTCTCTAGGTTTATTAAAATGTTCAGAAAGCAAAAGTTAGCCATAAAATAGTAGTATTACTTGGTGTACAAATGTCATTCCTCCTCTCACCATGTGCTTTGTGTTATGATCTAATTACCTTGACGTTAATTTTGTAGTGCTAATGTCTCAGGCTCGAGCTATTCCACGAAGAGTTACCTGAAATTGGCAAGCTGATAAACCAAAGCATTTTGTTTGGAGTGTGCACAGTTGTAAAAAGGAGCAAAACTGGAGCTGTGATTCCCAGAAGCAGGCAGGGATGTATTCAGGAGAGTCTGTAATGACTCTCTTGGAGGACTGTACAAAATGTGAAGTTTCCTTTAATTACATTCCAACTTTTACCTGTTTATTAGGCTGCGACATCTCTCTGAAATTGTTGCTTTGTAAGAATTTGAAGCATTCTTGTGAGTGTTGAGGTGCATGAGCAGTGATCCCCAAACCTGAAACTGTATTTATTGACTCGAGGAAGTATTTACTTAAACATTCAAATACAAATGGTACTGGTGGTAATGAGTTATTTGTTCTGGCGTGTTGCTGTAGGTCCTGTTCTTCCCTGTCTTACTCTTTTCTTTCTCATTACAGGTCTTGATGCAGAATTGTCTTACGTGAGGAATGATGTGGTTAATCACTATGCATTGTCCTTCAATCTCTTAATACCCAGTGAGACCAACAATCTTCACTTCAGCTGGCATGCTAAATCCAAGGTAAGCAGGCACAACTTCTGTGTTTGAGTACTTGATATGTGATTTGTATTGTTTAGTGAATACGAACTATTATAGTTTAGTGGCTTTTTTTCTTGGCAAAAATTAGCGTATGCTAGGTGTAAAAGAGTGAGTTATATGACTGCAGGCAGTAAATTAAGATGGTATGTGTCCAAACTGTTCCTTTCTTCTTTTAGAAAGGTGAAGCACTCCTTTTGAAGTGTTGTATACTTCCTGCATCTGGCAGGGTACGTGTGTGTATATATATACACACAAGCTAATGCTATGGAATCTTTTTCTGGTGGTGCATTGAACACACAGAAGGGACAGCCATGAACCGAAGCCTCTGGAAATCAAATGTAGAGCAGTTGTGTTTGAGATTTCTAGAAACATATGTTTGGAGACAAGAAGAACCTATAAAGTAGCATCTAGTATGTTATTACTGAGCCCTGATTAAATGGAAAGGGATTTTTATTTCACTTAATCACCATGGCTGGAGCACGCAGCAACAGCTGTCATAAAGATTGTGTATGCTCTTACATTTTGAAACATTTCCAGTTACTTAACAATTTATTCTTGTATATGAAATGATCTGTTCAGTCTCTGCCAGATGTTAATTTTTTTTTTTTAAACTTGAGCGATGGTGGTTCTTCTGTCCTGAAGTAGGAAAGACTGCTGTAGGAACGTTAATATTTAACAACTCCTCTGATGCAGCTGCTGAGGATTCCTTCTGCCACTGTTTTTCCCTTTGAGGCATAACTTCTTACAAGATGTGAATTTTGGCCTGCAGCGGTGTTGGGTACAGTGCAAGCCAACTCTTCTACTCGATACCATGTGCCACCTTCACAGGCAGTTCAGTCACTTGCCATTTGAATAGGACCTTTGAAGGAGTTTCCTTGTTACAATTTCAGCTGTGAGCTACCTGTGTCACTGTCCCTGCCCTGAGTTTCCTTGGGCCTGTCTGAATTTTGAATAGGAATTTTTGAGCTTGTGTAGCCCTTCTTCCATTACTGTGATTGCACCACTCGTCATCTTCTGTGCTAGCTTTGTCGGATGGGTGTAGTGCAGTTTATAGGAGCTCAGACACTGGGTTATGTTTCTACCCCTGGCATCTTGACTGAAAAATAAATTCATAACATAAATGCATCCTGTTATGCTCTAGAAAGGGGAAAAAAAGAAACTAATGGAACAAACGAAGTCAAACCAAATTCATTCAGTCGAGTATGGAGGGATAGGGTGAATTTCGAACAGGAGCTTATGACTTAGTTACAATAGGTCCTGTACTTTTTTGAATGAATATTTACAGAATCAGCTTCTTAAGTGGAAACAAATTCTTGACTGTAGTTGAATAAACTGTAAGCAATTTTGGCTGTGTAGCTTATAAAACTGACTAGAGGAAGGGGAATTTCTTGAATTCCTATGGCTTTAACAAACTGGCTTTTAAACAAGTAAGTTTAAAAGTATCAGGATGTGAGGTTTGTGGTGGGTATTTTTTTCATACAGCACTTCAAATTCTGTCCCAGATTATCAAGAATGATTTCAAGAGTGGCTTCTGTTTTGGCTTTCTTAATTTGAACTGTCAGAAAAGTCTGATATTTAGACTTCATGTAATAAACTGTGAACTTGGGCACCTAAAATCACCAGCCTTCTTTGAAAAGAAGGTACAGTTTTTTGATTTCAAGAAGAATTATGAAAAGGTATATAGCACTTCTTTTTACTACTGTAGAGATTTCTTAATGTGTTTTGCATCTCCCAACTATTGTTACAGGTTGAGTATAAACTGGGATTTCAGGTAGATAATCCCATGGCTATGGCTCTGCCCCAGGCCAACATTTCTTTACAAGGAGAAGTTCCTCGCACCCTTTCAGGTAAACTGCCCACCCTCTGCAAGAGCACAGCTGGTGCTGATACTAAAAATGCTTGCTGGTGGTACTTTGTTTTTTCAAAAATGTGTGTAGTTTTGTGTAAGAGCATAATTTTTCTCTGTTAAACATCATATGTTTATAGGCCTTCTGCAACAGTTATGACATTGCTAAAAGCGTTTTATAGATTGAGACTATTAGTCTGAGAGTAATATTTTTTCCCCTTGTTTAGTGGAGGATAGAGTTTTTCCTGGAAAGAAAACATGACATTTTTTACGTATATGGTCCCACACAAGGTTCCAGTTCCCTTTCAACAATAATCATTAGCAATTGCATGGATTTTAAAATCCATGCCTTTAGATTTCTCTACTCTAGAAAAGACATTTCAAGATGTGTGGGTGTTGTTTATACATTGAAGTGTTTATGGTAAATTTAAATCTGAGAACTGAGAAAACTATTTTGAGTATGTAATAGCTTCTGTCAAGAATTTATACTAGAAATAACTTTATTTGTTCCAGGAAATGTGCAAGTGGTCATCATTCCTTGGTCATTCAGGAAAACTATTTTGAGTATGTAATAGCTTCTCTCTAGAATGTATACTAGAAATAACTTCATTTGTTCCAGGAAATGTGCAAGTGATCATCATTCCTTGGTCATTCAACTATGGTTCCTTGTACTCTGTTCGATATTCAAAGGGCAATAAAAAATATGTTGATGTTTTGGTTTTGTACCACTCTTTTGGGAAAGCAGACACTAGGGAATTAGGCTTGTTGTGTCTGCTCTGTTGGCATAAATAATACTGGTATATAAGCTAGAATGTAAATAATGTCATATTAGTCTAAGCTTTGATTCCAGTCGGTTGTGCAGAGACCAAAATGTTCAAGCTTAACTGTTGTGAAAAAGGCTAACCCTAATTGTGTTTGCGAAAGAGACAAGAGAAACGAAATTTTCTGGTTCTCTGTGATAACGGAGCTTTCTCTCGTGGCAGCACGTTAACTCCAGAGCTAATGGATGTCTAATGGTGATTTATACACAGATATAATTTGTTTTAGTAATCTGTAAGCTTTTAATATAATACACATAAATACATTTGAAATTTATGCCCTTTAATGCTTTAATAGTTGTCTGAAATTGCAAGGCATGAAGGCTGAAATAGTGTTTCTTAATAGCAAGTTCTTTAAAAATGTACATGAAAAATTTCGTATAGAAAGACCCTTATTTAAATATTCTTTTACCACAGTATGTACAAAATAATAGAACTTTATTGTAAGGCCTGTTTGTTCTCTGTTTGCAGTGTTTCGTGTCGAACTCTCCTGCACTGGCAGACTCGACTCTGAGGTCACAATACTAATGCAACTCAACTTGACAATAAATTCATCAAAAAACATCACAGTTTTAAATTTCAAACGAAGGAAAATGTGCTACAAAAGTAAGACATTAAGTTTCAAATATTAAAAAACTCTTAGTATTAAAGTATGATAGGAAAAAGGAGTGGGAAGGTATATGATCCAGGACGTAACAGTCCCCCAGAGTGAATGCTGAAGACAGGAAGGAACCAGGTAAAATTTTGCCTTTCAGAGATGAATGGAGACTTTTAGTAAAAGCAGAAGCTGATGGATGAACAAATTCCCCAAGTGTTCTGCTGCACTGACTGTCCTTTTTACATATATAGCAAAAAGCATTTTCTCTATTGCCCAGAGAAGTTGTGGATGCCCACTCCCTGCCAGAGTTCAAGGCCAGGTTGGATGGAGCTCTGAGCAACCTGGTCTGGTGGAAGATGTCCCTGCTTATGGCAGGGGGTTTGTAACCAGATGATCTTTAAGGTCCTTTCCAACCCTTCTCGTTCTGTGATTCTATGAAATTAGTTTCCTCAGAACTGCAGTACTCTATTCAAATTGTTCTAAGATTGAGCAACTAGATCTACTTAGTTTGTAAAATGAGATAAACTTAAAATTGGCTGTATAATAAATCTAAGCAGGTGTTAGTCTTTCAGACTTACAGTTCAAAATGATCTTGGTAGATAATGCAGATGGCAGAAATCCCAAATAGACTCTGCTGCATTTTGACTTAAGAATTTGCAAACACTATTTATGCTTGGGTAGCAGCAACTGTCTCCTGTTTCTGCTTCCTAGAAGTATTTTCGTAGGCATCAGAAGACAATTATTTTGGAGTATCCCATGAACTGTACCCTCCTTACAAATGGCTGTGGTATCCTGTTCTTGGGCAGTGTTTGAGGATGGCCACCCTCCATTTACATGCGCCTCCTTGCACTGTTCAGTTTACTTGGAGCCTTTGAGGGCAGTAGTTGGCTTTTCAGAGGGAGGTTTGTCACTTCTCTTGAGTATAATGTCTAAGGATGAACTTCTGGAAGGTGTGGGTGAAAGAGCTAGCGTGGCTTTTCAGCACATCAGGTTGTGACACTTGTGTTCCTTACATTGGTACTATAGGAAGATCATTCTTAATTTGATGTTTATCTCTCTTCCTAGTGAAAATGGAGGTCTTGCTGATAATGTTTTGAAGGAAAGACATTTTTACCTTTATTTCATGTTTTCCTAGGTACTTTTTCAAATGTTCTAAGTGAGGGAAGTCAGCACTGCTTATGCATTCATAGCTTATTGAGCTGCTGCATGTGCAGAGGAGGCTTTCATAGGCACCGCACAGTTATCTGAGCATGTGAAATAGAGCCACTTCCTAAATTACACAGAAGTGATTCTTACAAAGATCATTTTTCTGTGGGTTCATAAAAATGTCAGTGACATTTTTGATGTGTGTTGAGTTGATTGATACAGAGCATCCGGGGATTTCTGATTTAATTTAGTGTGTTAAGTTAAAAATGTGCAGGAACTTGCTAGTGGTTTTGCTCAAGGCATTGATAGTAGTTCCTTCCAAAGCTTAAAAAAAAGGGGGGGGGGGAGGGGATGGGGAGAGAAGACAAATTCTCCACCTTGCCCGTATTATGTTTTCACAAGTTTAGCAGGCTGAACTGGCTTGCCAAGGAGTCTGCGATGAGGAGGAAGCAGCTCTTCACAGCTGGGAGCAGGAAGGGGAGTGTGCAAGTGAGACTATGCCTTTGCAGCCACAGAAAGCCATTATAATGCCAGCAGATCCTCAGTGAGGTTCATCTGGAGTCATGTCCCCAGTCTGCATTCCCTTGATTTGCACTGCTCCTCTTAGTGACCAGACTCATAGTAAGCTTAATGAAGATTTATCCCCTTTCTAAAAGGCTGCTTTCACACATGAACCTGACACATGTCCTTGTCACTTTTGTTCTGTATTTATGAGTATTTAAATGGGCATTACCTTTTTCATCCTTCAGATTTAAAACACTCGTGACTGTAGCATCAGCTGAGAAGGCACAGTGCCCGTAGCTGCGTCTCTAACTTTTTACTAGTTTGAGTAGCCTGGAGCCAGAATTTCTTCCAAAAGGTCAGAGTAGCATTCATTGAACATTCAAGAAATTATTTTCTATCCTGTAGTAACTGATTCTGTGAGGTCTTTGTTGTTCAGTGTCTTAGCATACACTCACGTACTCTGCACCTCCTCTTTCTGTTGTCTGCTGCTTTGGACTTTGGCGAACAAGCTGGAGGGTTTTTTGAGGTAGGTAGATTTGGTGGGCTCAAGCATGGCCTCCATGGACATGTGTTATCAGTGGTGAAATATATCTGACCTGTGTGTCTGAAGTGTGATTTTTATTATACAGTGGTTAAGTATTTAAAATGGAAATCTAGAGATAACTGTAGTCATTAAGTCAGCTCACCTGTTTGGAAATTGGATTTGTTTTTCCATAAGCGGGGGAATTGACTTCCTGTGAAGGGCTGCAATAACAAATGCATACCAAGCTTAAGGCTTTTCTCTCATCTGTTTAGAGCTTGAACCAGAATTAAAATCTCCAACATCTGATAGAAACAGCAGCAAAGCTATCTGTAAGTAATTCTGAGTGTACAACTTCGGGTGTAAAAAATGAAAAACTTGTGATGTTCTTTGTTTCCACAGCTTTCCCTATGAAAACACTCCACAGATAGTCTGTACTACACCCAGTATTTTAAAGGGATTGTTTTGTAATTAAGTATTTTAACTGGGAATATATAGTAGTGAAAAGGAAAAAAAAAAACCCCACTATTCTGAGTCTCCTAACAACTTTTTTTTTATCGTGTCTGAGGGGCTCTGGTTTCTGTATATGACTGACCTATATTTTGACTTTAGGACCTGTCTGGTTTGGTGCTTTAACTTGTCAGTATTGAATCAATCGAATGAGGTAGTTTCTTTTACTCACTCCTCTTCTAGCTGGAAATATCATCGACTGACTGTGTTCGTCCTCTGGAGTACCCAAAATGTAAACATTTTTGCCAAAATACTCTTGGAAAGTAGTGGAGTGCGTTGCTCAGTTTTTTTCTTTGCCAAGAGGGCAGTTGTTCTCCATGATGTGTGACTGAAGACTGGGAATGGCGAGGGCTACTGCCTGTTCCTGCCTCCAGTCCAGCTGCTGGGCACCAGTGCAGGGCCAGAGCAGCAGACAGTCCTCTGCTGCCGAGGTCCAACTGCAAAATTTTGCCGTAAAACTCACTGCAGTTCAGATTCTTTTGAGAAAGAGGATTGACTGCCCTGTTAACACTACTGCGTTAAGGTGCAGGTCAGGGGGCCGTAATCCACCCATCATACCCTGAAGTCAGGAGGAGAAGCTGAAGTTGTGTGCTCTGGCACGCTTGGTCAGTGAGTAAGCACCACTATCGCACTGCGCCTAGGTATTGGTCTCATTTTATTTACCGTATTGGCATGTGTCCTGGCGCGCAGGTGACTCCTGTCCTTCCAGCTCCAGCTAGCAAGTCGGTGCTGCTTGCTGCGTTGAAGCTCAGCTGTACTGGAGAGTGGGTTTGTCTGTGCTTCTGCTGTTTGCAGCATGGGAGACATGGAGGTTGTGTGAGGTAGAACCAGCAGGACCAACTAGACTGTTTTGGGAGATTCCTGGCTAGCTTTTATCCTTCAGTAGGAACCCTCCTTTTGCTCCAGTAAATAAATGGAGGCATCGAGTGGCTTTCTGGGCCCTGCGCTGCTTTGCTGCAGCAGGAACTGTGGTCCCCACTCTCGTGGGGGTTACCACGGTCTGCCTCAGCTGGAGCCAGCCTGCACCCTGCTCCTGCCGAACCTGGGTGGCAGGACACTGGGGGCAAGTCTGGGGACAGCATCGCTGCCCTCCTGCCGTGCCAGCCTGCTGGGAACTAAGGAAATGTTGCTTGTTGTGGAGTTGCTTTGTGGGGGTTTTTTGTGGGTTTTTGTTTTTGTGTGGTGTTTTGTTTTTTGTTTTTGAGAAGTTCGGTAACTGTTCGCCTTTCTATTTCAGTTGATCCTGTAAATGCAGCTCCCACCACTTCTACCCGTGTGTTTTATATCAGTGTAGGCGTGTGCTGTGCTGTTATATTCCTGGTGGCAATAATATTAGCTGTCTTGCATCTCCACAGCATGAAGAGGATAGAGTTGGATGACAGGTATGTATTCAAGCTTTTCAGCTGCATTTCTGGGACACGTTTACCCAGATTTGTTGGAGTTCTGGTCTCAGAACGAGCACTCTGTAGTAGCTTGCAATTTCTGTTCTTGATGTAAAGCTGTAACAATTACTACCTGTGTGGAGTATCAGTAAGTGCTATGCTGCAGCAAGGCAGCAGTTACAGGTGCTGTGCGGTTTATGGGGTGGGAGGGTTGTGGCTGTGGGACTTTGCCAGAATAGCTGTGTGGAAGACACACAGTGGGGAAATTTGGTCAGAATCAGCTCTCCAGGGATTGAAGGAAAATTTGATAGCTATCTGGGTGCACTGAAAATACTTATTCTTTACTGACTTCTACAGGCGATTGAATTTCAGTTTTCTCTATTTTGATTGATTTGTCAGTATTCTCTTTGGCCTTAAAGTCTTGGGTTTACAACTGGTTGGTTATAAAGCTGAAAATGTGGCTCTCCAAAATGTATTTTCAATCCAGAAAAAACAAATTTGTACATGGATGTGAAAAGGACTTGTAAGGAGAACCCAAGGGCAATATGATCAGCTGAGAGGGGATTAAACACCGAGGCAGAAGGGGGGCTGAAAAAGCAGGTGGACTGAGGCTGTGTGGACAAGCTGCATCAGAGGCAACTGTTCAGAAGCAGGCAGTTTTGGAACTGAATACTTTAGCAAACAGTCGAGCTGGTGGGTGGTCACCCCTGTTGTGAAAGGATTATCTTGAGCATTTCTGTTCCTGCCTGAAGTCTCTTGGAGCAGCTCTGTGTTTTCGTCTCCCTCTGTCCATTCAACTGTTTCTTTCTGTTTTTCTTTCTGGCATTTACTCCTCTGGTGTCCCCAGACCACTTGGTTTTTGGGGGATGTTGGTGTAGTAAGTAGTAATGGTTTCTCAGTGCCTGATTATCTAACCAAATTACTTTTTCCTCAATTCATTTGTGCCTAATTGTCTACTGAGTGTTTTTAATCAATAGAAGGTGTTAAAGCATGTGCAGAAAGGAAAAGCATTGCATTTACAGAGTGTGTGAGTAGTGTCATCTATGAGTTTTTGAGAGACTGTCTAAGCCTAGCAGTGTGATCTTGACTTCTAGGGAGATGCAATCTAAAAATTCATCTAATATTAATATTCTGTGGTTTGCGGGTATTAAAGAATTTCCTCTAAATCGGTGTATGGCCACCTGGTAATTTCTGCGAAGTTTGCGCAGGTAGTGCGATTTAGTTCCTCAGAGCCATGTAATGACTGATTTTTTTTGAGCCCAACGGCGCCTGACTTGACAAAACCTTGGTTGGGCTCCTGGATGAGATCTGTGGTCAGCTAGTGTTGTAGCAAAGGTGTAAGAGAGGCAAGATATGCCTGAAAATCAGAATCTGTGGAGTTTTGTATTCAGAATGGGCAGTGTGCACAGGAGCCAGCAAAGAGACCTCCAGGTGCTGTTTCAGTGCTTGGCTGAGAAACTGGTTCAGTGTTACAATTTAGCCTCAATGTTATGCACTAGCGTTACTTGTGATCAGTGACTGCTTGATGTAGCAAGTTGTCAAAGAACTCATGAGAGAAGAAACAACTTTTGATTCTCTTTTGAATAACAAGCTCAAAAATATTGCTGTAAAGGGGTTCGGAATCAAAGATGATAATGCCATTAGGGTTAATGACCTCCCAGGAGCAACAGAGGCTGAAAAACCCACTGCGGTTGCTCTTAATTTCAAAAACCAGAACTAAATAAAAATGAGGAAGGTGGTTACATAGGAACTAAAGCCAGGCAGCTGAGTTTACAGGCCGCATATGGACTATTTAAGAACATTGTATTGAAAGTTCAGAGCAAATGCTTGCATACCTCCTATCAAAGGCACTTGAAAAAGTGCCAAAGAAAGTTGGCATGTCTTAACAGCAGGGTAATGGAGGTTATTAAAAGCAAGAAGGCATCGTTCAGAAAGCTGATGTAGTATGCAAGTGAGAAAACTAAGAAAGCTCATAAATGTGAGCAAGTTAAACCTATGAGGTGATCAAGTTACAAAAGGAGTTTCCAGCCATAGCAGGAAAACAAAATGTGAGTTCCGCATCAGTGTCTAATGTTGTGACCATGCGAGGACACTTCCAGGGAACTCGCTGGAGAGTGGATCGTATTGAAGCAGTTTGGACATGCAGTAGTATGAACAGTTAAAATAAGCAGCAATAAGTTGCCAGCACCAGAGAATATTAATTCAAAAACTCTAAAGGAAGTTAAAGTAGAGTAGCTAGACCACCAACAGTGGCTTTTAACTTCGTGCTAAAAACTAGGCTGGAACCCTATACCTGGAAGACAGTGAATGTGGGAGTAACTTTAAAAAAGGTTTCCAGAGGGAGACTGAGGCCAGCTATAAAGCGGTAATCCTGGTGTTTGTATTGTGAGAATTAGTAGATCCTGTTCTAAAGAAAAAAATTCAGTAGGTGCATCTGTGATTATGGTATAATGGGCAAAGAGTTAACCTTGCTTGCTTTTTTTTAAAGGAAGTCTTCCTTCAAAGCTGACAGTAGTCCTTGAGGGCATCACCAAGCATGTCTAAAAATCCTACTAGGATGGCTGGCACTGGTTGGTCAGTGCTCAACAGCAGCCCAAGAAGCAAATGGAATGTTGAGTATTTGGCAAGGCAGAGGGTAATACTCAAAAAAATTTCTTCTTTGCTCTCCCGATACAGTCAGAGGAAGTGGAGAAGCTTTAAAGTTTGAAAAACAAGGGGGAAGTTTGTGTGTGGGGAGGGAGGGAGATCAAAAAAAGCTGCTTTTGGCCCTGCCATCTGACCTAGTAACAGGTACTGCCTTTGCCTGCAAGCTTTCTCACCTGTTCTTAGGCTGTTACAGTTGCAACACTTTTTGTAGGATTTTGTCTGTGACAAGAAGACAGAAAACATCCCGCTGTGGTTTAAGGTGTGGTTTGCCCATCTCTTCAATACTATGTGCAGCTATAGTCCTTCTACCCAAAGAAAATATCTCAAAAACATGTTGTAGGTGGCCCTGGAAGGGGCAACAAGTATCCTTAGAGAGAGGAATGACAAAGTAGGCTAGAGCGGTTTTGTCTGGGAGCTGAGACAGGTACACTGGTGTAGGGCAAATAACTGTTTGCAACAGTGAACTAGGGAGTTCATCTTCTCAATATTTGCTCCAGCACAGGAGCTAAAGGGCAGCAGACAGAGCTAACAGGTGGCATGCCCAGAGCAAGCAAGAGATCACTCTGAAAAGCTGGTTAAGCTTTGCAGAGTGTTGTGGGTGCCTCTGTTTGGCTCGGGCTACTGCTTTCAAACTCTTGTAGTTCTTGATTCTCAGTGGGGTGCTGGTAGCATGAAACAAATGCATACAAGTCTTCTCTGGAATGTGATAGTTTTGTTGTTTCTGGTATGACAGCTTGGTTCTTGCAATAAATGTTTTGGCACCTTGGTTTTTTCATAAGTGGGGAAAAAGTACTGGAATATAGAGCAAATTATGTATAGCAAGTAGGAGGAAGTTGTTCACGCTTAAAAGGACAGGAGTGCTAAGATTTTGGAGTCACCTGAAATACATTTTAATGTATGAGAGACTTTAGAAATGCCGTTCTAGCCTAGATAATCTTCTGGTTTTAAGTTTGATACATTGATTTTGAATTTATTAATTACAGTGGCAAGTCATCATGTTCATGTCCGTTTTTTTTTTTAAACAGCATTAGTGACAGCAGTAGCTCACAAGGTTTATCTCAACCCTCTACACAGACAACGCAGTACTTGCGAGCTGACACACCAAACAATGCAACGCCAGTAACCAGTAAGTGTTAATCTAATTATAGACCCTTGCAACAGACCCTCTTGGACACAGTCGGAGTATGTGGTGGTAGGGATCTCACTGATTCATCTTGTTGCTTCAACCTGTAAAGGAAATGAATGGGGAAAAATCTTGTATTTGTGATTATACATGTAAAATGTATATGTTTGTGATTTTTTTTTTTGTTCACTGCTTTGCTTGAAAGAACATTAAATAGTTAAAAAGAGCAGTGAATGAAAAGGGTGGCAGTGTTTTATATACTCTGTGATAGAATGATGCTAACTATCTTCTGTGTTAATTCTGTAATTACTGGAGGTATTTATTATCTGCAGAATGTTTACTCTTCCAATTATTATTTTCTGTTTTCCCTTGTGGAGGGCTATCGTGTATAGCGTCACTCCAGGGAAGGGACCTTTTAGGCTGTAGGGAAGCTGGGTGGCATGGACACACACTTGGTGTGCGGTTCCTTGGCATTTCAGTCTCATTGGACCAACCATGAGCCTTTCCCTGTGCTGGCACTTATGCTGCTAGGCTGCAAGATGATTCAGGGACCTGAGCCAGCCAAAAAGTGGCATTTTTTTGTAGGGTGATGGGTTTTTGGTTGACTCAGGTCTCTGAGCTGGCTTGCAGTCTAGCTGTGTGAGCACCAAGACTGGTGCTTAGAGGATATGGGTCTACATGACTGAGCATTGGAAGAAGGCAGGGCTTAGCCCGAACTCAGCTGGCTTAAGCTACTGCTGGAGAGTCTGCTTTAAAAGATTGAAAATGAGGTCAGGGTTTATATTACAAAGTGATAAAAATGGGGGAGCCCAGTCAGAGGAACAAACTGTCCCTCTGTCAAACTCAAATTGCTGTTTTTCTCAATAGAGTGGGAACTGCCAAGCTGAAATAGTACCCTGCCACTCCTGACCTTTTCTGAAAGTGTAAATTAAATGGCTCCTGCCACCTGTGGTTTTCTCTTCCGTAATGCTCAATAGTTTTGGGTTAATTGCCTGAAGAGACTTGTTCAACAGTCTAACGAGTAGAAATATGAATGTAGATCAGTGATTTTGAGCTTGGTAAAAATAGTGATTAATGACTTGTGGGTTTGGTGGTGTTTTTTTTTTAAAGCAACCAATAAGACCCAAAAGTCTCTCCCATTTTCTTCTGATTGCCATTAGTAGTGATACAGACCATCGCAATTCATGAGGGACCACTGCACAAATGTCGTGGTTACTGTTCAGCCCTACTGTGTTTTCTGGTTTCCTGCCCAGATGTGGAAGCAGGTGTTTACCCAACATTGAACTCGTGCAACTTTGGGAAAGTTTTGGCTTTCTTCTGAAATGTACTGTATCTTCCAAAAAAACAAAAAGGATCTTTTTTTGTCATCTGAGTTCATTTATCTTTTGCAAAAACCTGCCTTTAAAATTTATTTAGTAGAAGAATTAATTTTAAAATAAAAATAAATAAATACATATTAAAATATTAAAAAAATTCCTTTCCACAGAGTTTGGAAGAGACCTTAGCATGCAACTGATTCTTGAGCTGGTTTTCCCTCTTGCCACCTGAAGTCCCTCCCCAGCCTTTTTATTTTCCATCTGTTATCCCAGATCACATTCTGCTGTTGTCCTGTCAGCCTCAGGTTTTTAGGTTGGCCCTCTAAGTGACGCTGTTTGGTTAATTTGAATGTGATGTCTGGAAACTCATTACTGAGCCTCTGGCAGAAGGGGAGAGGAGGACTTGTCATGAAGGTGGTCTACAAACCAAGCCCGTAGTGATGATTAAACCCTTCTCACCTTGATGAGTGTGGTAGCCGTGATGCCTAAATGGGACCGGTTTGCCGTGTCCGCTCAGTAGTGTTTCAAAATGTCTCTTACCAGTTTTGGGACACCCCAGTAGCAGAGGGAAAATGAGTATAAGAAGAAAAATGGTTGGATGCACGAGATAAACAGGAAGAGCATTCTTAGTCCTTCCACAATCATATAAACCTTACTTTCCAGTAATGTTTAAATTAAAAAATTATCAAAATAATTCTCAGTATTTTTCTCTAGTGATTCATGAACTTGTACAAAAATATTCAGACCTTTCTGACTATGTTAGAGTATCGAGATGTCTCGAAGTGCCAGAAGAGGGCACTGGTAGTTTTGGTTACACCCTGCTGGGGTAAGGCATCTTCCTCGCTCTAACAAGTCTGCTGACAGTCTCCAACCGTGGTCTTTATTTCTCTGTTATCAGGGAAGTGCAGTGTCGTGTTAATCAGCTTCAGTACGTAAGGAGGAGTTTATTTACTTGGTGTTAATAGAGAGACCTGATTGCATGTGACTATATAGAATTCTTGTGTGATTCCCCCCACCAGCGGATTATTATATTCACATGACTTCTCATTTGTTTGCTGTTTAATACTATAATCTTTTCAAGATTAATATGTAATATTTTTAAGTACATGCTGCTTGCGTGTGTTTATACCTGTAGGTGGTGCTGAGGTGAAGCAATATGCTTCTATTCTCATTATAAGGGTATTTATATTGGTTTGTTTGGCTCTGCTGGCTCCTCAGGTTATCCTACTTTACGGATAGAGAAGAATGATCTTAAAAGTGTCACTCTAATGGAAGCAAAAGCTAAAGTGAAGGACATAGCCATCTCCAGGGAGAGGATAACTCTAAAAGATGTGCTCCAAGAAGGTATTTACAGGCCTCCGACACTTGTTGACTACAACATGGTGTACATATATGTATATTTTTGTAATAGCTAGATTTTTCTGAAACTAATCATGTATGTGTGACGTTTCTGATCTTCGTAACTTTTGTGGTGGTGAAGAATGATGAATGATGTTTGCATTTGGGGTGTGAGGGTATGGGGAAAGTAGCTTCAAGAATTCTTTAGAATGGGGGAGCGACTAATTGTGCTCAGTAAGTCATTCAGCTTGTCTGTCTTAATAATTTGGTCCTTTAAATAAACGTAAGGGTTAGATGGCTAAGGAGTGAGGTAATCAGTTGGGGCTGTAAGTGGCGAAGTAACTCACTTTTGGAAGTAACTGCAGGAGAGCTTCTCTTAACAAAAAAAAAAAAACAACCCACCAAACAAAAAACCCAAAGCCCACAAAAGCCTCAGTCATCTAAACTCATCTCAATTTAACAGCTTCTGAGTTGGAAATCTAATCAGCAGCTGCAACATTTGCAGCTCTGGTATGAAAAATGCAGAGATTACCTGATCTTTTGTCTTTTTTAATGTTTACTTTGGAAGTGTTCATGCACAACACTAACTGGTTCTTGTTGATGTTGAATTTGTGAAATAGACTTAAATAGTTAGGGGTTTTTGTCCTTAATCTTTACTGCTGCAACTTCAAGTCTCTGTTCCCTGAGCCTCATGAGAAGTCAAACTTTCCAAAGCTAAAGATCTGAGATACTCATCCTTTGGTGGTAGAACCGCTAAATGCTTTGCGTTACTGTCTGAAAAACAATGGGAGGATGCTAACACTCCCCATTTAATGTATGCTTCTAAATCTGTAAGGAGGTAGCTTTGTGCTTAACTCCCATGTCGGTTCTGCAAAAAGCTTCCTTCGCATGTGGGACGTGCTTTGTGTTCCTTTGTACTGTCTGTTGCCTGTAGCTGGATGTTAGGAGTCATCCGATGACTAGAAGCGACTCAGTGCCGCAGCTATGCTTCAGATGTTCAGCACCAGAGCTGCCCTGTTCTGTGAGATGCAGCTTAAACAACTGTTAAAGGCAATGTGGACCCAATTAATACTGGGATCTTGCTTCTTGGCCTCCAGTTGATATTTAAGTCTGTCAAAACCTTCAAAAGTTAGTCAGAGGACTAGAAGACAGAGCCTGATGAACGATCATCAATTTTAGTTCACGATTATAGCAGACTTGAGCCTCTGTCATCTAAGAACAAATGAGCTTCAGAGGGGAAGAAACAGATAATAGAAATGTCTGCATAACATTTTCAAGGATTCCTAAGTGCAGCTGTTGGAACTTAAACATATTTTACAGATCTTGGCCAGAGATTCATTTATAAACTTCAAGTAGCTTCCATAACTTAACACTTTAATAATTTGGGTGATTATGGTTCCTCTGTGGTGTAACCAGTATAAACTTCAAGTAGCTTCCATAACTTAACTCTTTAATAATTTGGGCCATTATGGTTCCTCTGTGGTGTAACCAGCTGGAAAATGCAGAGCACCAGATCTGGGAGTGTGCAAAGGAAGAGGGATCTGTAGGGGCCTTTTGTATTGCTGGGCTCGTGCAGCACCTGATTCTGAACCTGCCTCAAGCTTGTGTTGTACTAGCTGTAAGACAAATATGTAGGTGTAAGTTTCTAATGGAATAGCTACACTTTTGCAAATGGAACAGAACGTTAAGTGGATCTTTACAATTTTCAGGTGAAGTAGAGGAATGGCTTAGATATCCAGGCTGGAATACATACAGCATAATCTGCAAAAAGCCCGGGGGAGAGTAAGGCAGAAGTAGCATGTTCACAGTGCTGTCTCTGAGTGGTATAGCATGCCAGTGACACACGATTCCTGCTAAGATACGAATATTTCAGGGTACTGTTAAAAAAAACAAAACCAAAACAACAAAGGCCCAAACAGTGGACTGTACACGCATGCTGTGTTACAGTCTTACTATGTCTAGTTACTGGATTGCATGAAAATTATTTTCTAGTCATAAGTGCTTTTACACACCTCCCCATTCTCTTCAGCACTTACAAACAGATAGCTTGATACCATGATGTGTTTCAGTACGAGATGCTGTCTTCCTTTTGACTTTTACATGTATTTGTATACTGGAAGTAGGTATTTAAGGTACTTTGCTGATGTCTTCAAGAACCAAGATAGGAGGGTTTTAGTTTACTGTTAAATAATTCATGCTGTATATTTATGGTTGCCTTGTAGTCTCCTTAATGTTGTTTCTTAAGGGTTTGCTTGCGGTCCCATGACAGATGATAAAAATGTTGCACTGCCCTTGTTAAGTATTTAGAATAACCAGTGAGACCCACGCTTCATGCTGGAAGTTGTACAATCAGACTAAGGCAATACCTATCAAAGGTCTTTCAACCTAATTGTACAGGACAAATCAGTGGGAAAGGGAGGTGACAGACGAACAGACTGCATGAAGGTGGTGCACGTGTTGGTGTCGCAGTGATAGAATGACAGAAAAGCATCGCCGACCAGAGTTGTATAAAAAGTTAATTCTGTGTTTTACCATGCTGTAGTTGTTCTTACTCCAGGTGTATCTCCTCTCCCTGCAATAGCTTTGTTAAATTTTTGTGAGTGGAAAAATGTTCAAGAGACTGAAAAAAAAAGCCCCAAACAAATGCAACACCTTCCAGCTGAGGTGAAACACTTTAAAAAACAGAATCACGTTATTCAAACTGTTATATGTGTACTGATTGGTTGAAACCAGAATTTCCCTGTGAAGATTTCCAAAAATATTTCATCTTTGTGAAAAATGTTTTGACTGGAGAATTCCAGAACTGCTGGATGAGAAAAGGATGGAGCTGGAGGTATTAGTGCAGACAGCTGACAAAGACTGAACTGCCATAAATAAACTTATCAGTATCGATACTTAATTTAACTGGATTCTGTTGCTATCATTAGTTCACTCGTATGCTTGTCCTCGTAAGTTTTAGTTACCTAAACTTTCAGCATTACTGTATCTATTTCTGAATCCAGAACTGGATTCAGTGCTGGAGAGGTGATTGGGTTACATATTATTGACTTAATAGGGCATTTGGGACTTGTGCCTTAATGGCTGTTGTTTGTAACTTTCTGCTGTGGCTGATTCATTTTACGGTAGTGTTTTCTTAATAGATACTAAATTATTTTAATGTTATCAGTGTATTTTTACCACGTAATACTGATTGTATGTTCTCTTGATAGGTACATTTGGGCGCATTTTCCATGGGATTCTAATAGAAGAAAAAGACCCCAGTAAAGAGAAACAAGTTTTTGTCAAAACTGTTAAAGGTAAGTTTACATGAGGTTTTTTATGTCCCGTTGTTTGGATTGTGGTGCATGCTGAGTGCATCAGATCTGCCTTTAAAAACAAACCCCTCCTCCCCAAAATGTGCAAATGGATACTGCTTAAAAAGCAAAAGCAATTTGGATGCTGTCTCCAGCCAGAAAGAACAGAAATCTTATATGGAAGAAAAATGCGTGTGTTCTCCACCAGTGCCTTCAGTTACTGCGTCTTGAATACTTTTGCTTATTATTGTTCTAAGTAAAAAAATATTTGTTTTTCACCTAGCATGTCACTGCTCTTTCCATCCACAGCCTTTTCCCCTTCAAGTTGCTGAAAAAGGCACCTGCAGTTAGTCTTAAAATCTTTTATAAACATGCGTGGCTGTACAAAAGATAGGGCATAGTTTCTGCCATCCCGAAACTTTGCTACTGAAGTATGAGAATTATTGTGTAGAACTAAATTTATATAAGTGCAGCATGTTTGTTCAAGAAATAGTTCTCAGAGCGATTTAAATTATGATAGGTACACATAAGAAATGAAGTAAGTATAGGTGAAAACCATATTACATATCCTATTTGTATATTACATATATCCCTTCCTCTACACTCATCACTGTAAGAGTTCTCAGTAGCTCACAACAGTTTTGCTGAATTCCATGTACAGTAGTTGCTTTACCAGTTATTCTTGCCATTTCTATTGGGTATATTATTACCTTGTTTTCTTCATTTTACAACTTCTTTAATTCTTTCTTAAAAAAAAAATGGGCTTCTGTAAGAATTTCAACTTGGTTTACATTTTTTTTTGCCTGGCTGGTAAGTTTTGAAGATACTGATTTTAAAGAGGAAGGTGGGAATTGGTGAAGCTGTTGAATTTTGTTCTTGTTGAATCTTTCTGCTACCCACTTCTTCTGGGCCATTTTTAAGAAAAATACATTGCTTAAATAAAGCAGCCTTGTTCTTGGTATGTTTCTCACACAGTCAGATGCTTCTGATAATAAAAAAAGTTTAGGTGGAAAGCCACTTAGAAAAGGATTCACACTCGCTTCAAGGGGAGGAATTTCTTAAAGTCAACCTGATTTGGAATAGAAGTGGCTGAGAAAGGGGTCCCTACTTGAAACAGTCTGAAATGGCAGCTTGGGGTGGATGCTGTTGTGTTCCTTAGCTGCACTTTGTTCTTAATGTAGGCCTAGCAGGATGGTGTGCTTTGGCAGTGAAGACCGGCCAGTGCTCAATACCATACCTGCTGCTCTAACAAAATATATTGAACTTAAGAAGGTCCAACTTGTCAGTACTATGAGCTAGGTACCAGTTGTGAGTCATCAGCATAGGCACTGTGAAATTAGCCTGCTTTCCTGCCTAACAAATCCTTACCTTCTTATCAGCCTGACAGGCCTGAACTGTGAGGTCCCTCTGCCTCAGTGGGATGGGTACCACCGGTGAAGTATTGCTTTGTGGGCAGCAGGAGGGTAACCTGGGAGTAAGTCTGTCTCAGCATTGAGGCAGACAGTAGAGCTTGATCTGTGTCTGGGACAATTGTTTAGGTTTCTGCTAATGGGATTCATGGAGGGCTGAACAGGAAGGATGTACTGGATTTACCAGACTCTGTTCAGTGGTGCCCAGTGACAGGACAAGGGGCAACGGGGACAAACTGAAGCAGAGGAAGTTCCGTCTGAACATGAGGGTGACGGAGCCCTGGAACAGGCTGCCCAGGGAGGTTGTGGATTCTCCTCTGGGATACTCAAGACCTGCCTGGACAAGGTCCTGTGCGGCCTGCTGTAGGTGACCCTGCTTCTGCAGGGGGGTTGGACTAGATGACCCACAGAGGGCCCTTCCAACCCCGAACATTCTGTGATTCTGATTTGTTGCTGTCCTTGCTTTTTCCTCTTGCATGTCCTCACGGGCCTTCCTCGGTTCAGAGTGACAGGCACTCTCATAGTCACAAGATACTTCGGTTATTTCTTCAGGAGTGCCTCTAAGATGGTACACTTTCATTCTGTAGCACTTCTCTCTGGACTCAACAGGGAGGAAGACTTCTGAAAAGTAGGTAAGGTGCCCCTTTGGAAGATGCTGGTAGCTACCATTTAGCATGACGGTGGTAGCTAGAACTGTGGCTGCTGAGGTAGTCATAGTTTTAATGAAAGTAATGGTCCTCTTATAAAGGCAAGTATTTTCGTGTAGTGGCTTCTAGCAAGAAGCAAAGGAGTGTCCTCTATTAGATAAGTGTGCTTCTTTCCAGTATTTTGGGAACTTTTCCTGTTGCCCCTCCCTGCCAAACAGTTCTGACTGTCATTTTGCTTTTATTTGATATAGTTTCCAGAAGTCTTGCTCCATATCACGTGAGCCTGGTGTGCCTCTGTGTTTGGTGAGGTGGTCTAACTTCGGACGTCAATCCGGTGTTACCTCAACTTGTGATCCCCTCTGCTGTGTTATTTGGTGCTTCTCTGCCCTGATTCAGATTGCCCCTCCCTGCCAAACAGTTCTGACTGTCATTTTGCTTTTATTTGATATAGTTTCCAGAAGTCTTGCTCCATATCACGTGAGCCTGGTGTGCCTCTGTGTTTGGTGAGGTGGTCTAACTTCGGACGTCAATCCGGTGTTACCTCAACTTGTGATCCCCTCTGCTGTGTTATTTGGTGCTTCTCTGCCCTGATTCAGAGTCAACAAATGTTGCGGCTCTTGTGAGCCCCACATTTCTCCCTTGCAGTGCCTTGCATCTTTGACACAGCACACATCCTGATTTCTCTAGCCCTTCCCTTTGCAGTGAAAGATTTGCTGGCTGCAGTGAGCTGGAGCATGGTCTTCAGGGAGTAATGGTATTCACATAATTGTCTGTAGAGAGTTTCTCAGCTTTAAAAAGAATCTTTATGGACAAAGTTTATAATAGATTTTGCTGATACTTGTCTGTGAAATAATACTGGTTTGGGCAGCAGAACGTTGCTAGGAAAATAACTATAAACATCCCTGCTTCTCCTTACAACAGTTCATTTGCAGTGCTGATATTAAGCAGCTTTGTCTTCATACTCTGGCTGTGATAGCTGTGTGTGCAGCTGGGTCATGTAATAAATTGGAAATTTGATCTGCTTGGAAAAAAAAACCTGCATAAATTCTCTCTTAACTAGACTTTTTCCTTGATCTCGTTCTTTCTATGACCACACACGCACTGCTGTTTTGGCACAAACACAGGAGTAGGGCAGGACTGCAAAAGTGAGATGGGTATGAGAACTGTTAAACTGACTTAAGTTTCTGTGTTGCTGAAGGCAAGAAAGGAGCCTGAGGGTAATGAAGAAGAAACAAGGGAAAAAGGCTTTGTCTGTGTAGCTAAGTTCTCTCCCCAAAAAAGTACGGGCTGCTCCAGAACTGTCTTGTTTTACCCAGTGGTACACTCTGATAAAATAACGTCAAGTGGTATCCTGAATAACAGAATATAATGGGGAGGGGGCATGGGGTGTTCCAGATCTTCTGCAAGATGTGAACTGAAATTATTTCAGTGGGTGCTGTGCAGAAAAATAACCATCTTGAGAGGAAAACCATCTCTTCTCAGCAGGATCAGAACTTGGGAAACTTAAGACATTGCATTGGCAGTTTCGATATTAGGGTAGTTGCTATGACTTTAAATTTGGAATTGCCAATAGAAGAAACCCTTTCGAAGGAGAACACCTGGACATGGCGAATACGATCAGTACACTTCTGCCCAAACTAGAATTTCATATTAGAATCATAGAATCATAATCGTTTAGGTTGGAAGGGACCTTTAAAGACCATCTAGTCCAACCCCACTGACATGGGCCGGGACGTCTTTCACTGACCACGTTGCTCAAAGCCCTGTCCAACCTGACTTTGAACACTTCCAGTGATGGGCATCCACAGCTTCTCTGTGCAACCTGTCCCAGTGTCTCACCACCCTCACTGGAAAAAGAAAAAATTAAAAAAAAAATAAAAATCTTCCTTATGTCTAATCTAAACCCTCCCTTTTTCAGTTTAAAACTGTTGCCCCTAGCCCTGTCACTACAGCCCATGATAAAAAAAAATAAATCTCCATCTTTCTTATAAACCCCCTGTAAGTATTGGAAGGCCACAGTAAGGTCTTCCTGGAGTGTTTTCTTCTCCAGGCTGAACAACCTCAACTCTTCCATCCTTTCTCCATACCAGAGATGTTCCAGCCCTTGGATCATTTTCATGGCTCTTCTCTGGACCCATTCTAACGGGTCCATGGTTTTCTTGTGCTGGGGACCTCAGAGCTGGACGCAGTACTCCAAGTGAGGTCTCACCAGAGTGAAGTACAGGTGGAGAATGACCCCCCACAGCCTGGGAACTTTGTCTACACATGACCTTGGCGCAGTTATCTGCTGCAGAGTGAAGTACAGGTGGAGAATGACCCCCCTCAGCCTGGGAACTTTGTCTAGACATGACCTTAGTTGGCGCAGTTGTCTGCTGCGTCACTGGATATGGGCCTGCACTCCTGCAGAATGACACCAGAGTACTGGCATACAAATGGTTTTGTGTTGGGTGTTACTGTTGCAAGCTATATTGATGCTGACAAATGTACGTTGTGCAGAGTGGTAAAGCTAGTGGATTAAGTGATTATCTGCTAGACATGCCCAGGAAAGCACAAGTAGTATACGTGGGACTGGAAGGCAGTTGTGTATGGTAATGGATCTCTTCTTTCTTGCATTCCTCCTTTAGTTGTTAGTGTATTGTAGGATTCATAACCGTTCAAGATGGGTTATTTCTAATAATGTGGACAGAGGAGAATGTGCTGTCAGTTTTCTCATTTCATATCCCAGAGAAGATGAATGCTGTGGCTGACATGGTCATCAGACAATAGATCTGTGAGCATTTCTTGCTCTGAGGGGAGTGTGTCTGCAGCCGTGTCGATTTGCCTCTTCTCTATCTTCTTATCTCTCTCCAGCATTGATCCTTTTTCCCAAAGGATGAAAAGCAAAGGTAGTTGACTGCTTATAGCATTAACTGCAGCAGCCCTTCCCACTTCCCTTCCCTAATGTTTT